CGCGTAGAACGAAACAGATCCTTTATGTTTTCAACTTCCTCAATGAGCTTGTCGATCGCATCCACCATAGACAAACCGTCATAATTTTGCATTCCCGAATCTAAATGTTTGATGAAATGCAGTTCATTGATCACGTTCATCGGTATGATTTTACCCGCAAATGGTTGAAACAAATGCTCGACTGTTTGAATCACAGCTGGAGTTGGATAGACTCGCTCCTCGACAAACTCGCGGTCTTCACCTGCTTCTGATGGCGTATGCGTCCGCATGTGTTGAGCAGCGACATCTACAACAGCTTCCGGTGTGGCATTCTCAGCGGTCGTTAGCAGGGCCAGAGTCCACATCAGGGGTAGAATGCGGCCTTGTGGTGGTCTTACAATCATGACTTATCGTTATGTCTTTTTGGGGCTTAATGAAATTTGAGCTTCTCTTTTAGCCACATCAGCTGCTGTCACCCAACTCCGTATCAGACCTCTCCATACTAAAATCAAAATAAAATATCCTAGGCAAAAAGGATACACTCCCGTCAGAACTATGCCACCGATTACAAACTTCATCAGCTTGGACTAACTTTATTGAATTTCAAAGTCGGACAATTCACAGCCAAGAATATTAGAAGATCTTTAGAATTCCACACATAAGAATTGATGAACGTGGACGATACGAGAAACAAAACGCCGAATCTCTGGTGTTAAGGTAATAAAACATTTTCTGGCTTTATGCATCAAAATCTCAAAATATTGAAGCCACTTGTTGCAATATTTGAGTATTTTTTTTAATATGACCCAAGAAAAAAGCTAGAATAGTGGAGACTACCCTTCAACGTCCATTTCCTTTCGAGAGTGCAATACTGTAACTAGCTAACTTCTTCCTTCCACATTTTTGATTTGTTGTAAAGTGTAACTATCAATTAACACCAAGTGTTATATAACGTTACTGAGCTTTTATTAACGTCTTGCATAACTGCATATGATCTGAAGATACAAGAGGAGCGACAGTACATACGAAATACGACATACGAAATACGACACGAAATACGACAAGACCAACACTCACAAGTG